ACGTCCATTTGATCGAGGACTAATTGCGTTATTATTCTTCGCTTACCAGAAGGAATTTTCTAGCCGATGCATGAAATCCTTCCCACCTTCGGATTTTTATAAAAGAATTCGTAAAAATAAAAATTTGCACAAAGTAACTGAATTAGCCTGTATTATTTTTTACGTAATATATAAATGTATCGATAATAAGTGAAAATTAGGTGCCTTCACTGATCGGCACTTTTTAGTTCATGTCAACATTCTGCGTCTCGATTGTGATTTTGAAATCACAAACGGATTTATTCCGTTTTGTAATATAATTTCATTTTCAAGCACGATTCAAAAATATCTTGTTCCGTTGTTGTTCCTCCGTAATCGCGGCGATCATGATTTTCAATATCACACATCGGAGAAATTATGAATCTGTTTTTTGTTAATTCGTTCTTAATTCATATGCCAAAATTGACATTTCTTGGTTTCGAGTTACATAAAACTTTTTGTAACCATTCGAAAAATGGTTAAAAAAAAAATGGAAAAAAATGTTAATTCGGTTGTATTAGTTATTATTATATAGTTAGGTTAAATGATGTCGGTATGTGTATTTTTTTATGTTATAATTGTCATAAGAAATATTCTTCTTGCGTATTTTGAAAAGTCGTGGCTCATACAAACATGTTTTAAAATTCTTTTGAAGTTTTTACTACCTGTCGCGCATTCATTTTTGTCACAAGCGGAACAAACGATCATTAATAAATGCGAAAAAACAATACATCGATGTATATATATATATCTTTTCTGTAATCTTTGACAAGTCGAAAGGGGCTATCGCGCAACTCCTTTTCATTGAGGAATTTGCGGGTGACCTTGGAATGGTCTATCAACGGCCTCCTAGCTTTCCCCACTCGTCCACGATCATTTATCTAGATTAACATGGCACATCGGGTTAAAGATCTTGTTCGCCGTTAAAATACACCGTTATCGTGTCTGTTTGTATTCACCGTTAATCAACATCCACTTTTTTTTTGGTTTCCTTCATTTCATAACAAAACATGCATTCAAATGTATCGTGAAACGTTCGTCAAGATTACGTCGCGCAATACGTCATTCGATTCTCACGATGGAACGCGATCGTTCGTCGGGTGTTTTTTTTTTTGTAAGACAAACGAACGTTGGCCATCGGACAGATTCGCGCGATAAGAAGAGACTGGCGTTGATAAACGATTAATTCCTTCGAATCCCTGAATTTATATAAGTCGAATTTATCTTGTGCCGTTCCTAGAAAGCGGTTCAATCAGTTGCCCGGTATCTAATGCACGAAGATCGAAGAGAAACGGTGCGAAAAAGATCGCGTAAAAATGGGAGAAGACATCGGCGTAGCGGAAGAAACGAAATCGATTATGATTTTAACGCGATTGGTCACGATTTCTAAATTTCATGCTGCTTGTGTATCGGCCTGTTTATCGATACCGATACCGAACTCGAAATGGTATCTTCGTTGCCGATATTCATCTTAACTCTTAACTCGTTTTCACCGATTAGTTCTTATAAGTAAAATCGACGGTTATAAAAGTTATTGGCTCAGACTTATCACAGCGATAATTTGTTCGACCTTGCGAGGTCCTATTAATCTATGTATTTTTATAAATGGGTTACGACGAAAATAGATTTTTTTTTAACAGGTTTGACACGTCGCATACGAATAACACTAATTTTTTGGCAGATTTTGGTCAAACTGAATATTACTAGGATTTTTTGAATAGGAAAGAGCTAACACTAAACCAACCGTGCCGGTCATAATGACCGGTTTCACATTCTTTGCTTTCAAGCTGATGAAATTATAAAGAGTCTTTGGTAAGAAATGATCGAATATATTTCTTAATTTAGGCATGCGTTTTACTAGAAATGGCAAGTTGTCTATAAAAATTCTAGTATAAGACTAATATCTTCTGTGTTTCTCTTCTAAAATAATATCTTTGGTCAATTTGAACTTTCTAATTTCGGTTTTATTAAATAAATGACATCCATGATGTGGAAACTTTTGATGTTGATATTCGGCACTTGACACGTATACACCGACACAAATGATCAACGTGGCAGCCAACGTGTTAACGATTTTTTAACTAGATTATGCTCGAGTGTTCGCGAACTTCCGGTAGAAAATTCGTACATATTTTTGGTTCTAGGCATTCGATGAGAGATTTCGGGCTTGTAGCTTTCTCCCGAGGGTAGAAAACAGCTTTCCAGCGGTATTTTGTTATGCCACGAAAACCTGATGCCCGCGTGCACAGGTAAAAAGTGCTCGTAGAAGACCGAGACGCGACGCAAACAAGCCGAGCGTGTGCTCGCGCTACATCACGCGTCATTAACGTCTGTCTGCGATGTCTTCAAGGTCCGCGAAAGTGAAGTTTTTCCTGCACGACTGACGACAGGATCGTACACGAAACGATCTCTCCTGATGCCGAATGAAACCGACGGAAATTGATATTTTATCGATCAATCTTTTCCGTCTTCCATTTCGAGAAAACAGATAAGACACGATTTACCGAGAAACGATTACTCTTTGATTGCTCGTCCCGCTTCTGTAAGAAATACGAGAGAGAATATTTCTCTCGTGGAACTCGGTGCAATGTGCACTTTTTGTTACGTTTAATTATCGAATTTACATACTCAGCAATAGCTTCGTAACATGCCACATAATTGGCAACAGCTGACCAGACGAATGGCAAAACAAATTCACAAGAAGCGTAAGAAAATTGATTTCCTTCCCTAACGAATTCCCTTTCCCTTGCGAACCTTTGTTTCCACGTTCGATATTCGCCTGAAATTTCACGGAGGTAAAGTGAAATGGGATAAGTGCAGACTAGTTTTTGTAAGGTTGGACGCGAAACGGGCGTATTTGCAATCGCCAACAAAAACTGTTATTATTGTCTATGCATAAAACATTGTTATGCTATTATTGCTCAAGGTATACGAACACTGTAGTCATTTTCATGTTTAAATTTTCGTAATGCCCTAGTTTCTAACAAACTAGGGTAACAGCGTGATAAATGATTTTTACATAAACTTGGACAAAATACTACATTTTTATGTATTTCAGATACACATTTCTATTTACGATATAAGAAGTATTTGCAACCAATTCGCGACTAACATAAGAATTTCTAAATGTTTTTAATCGGATTAAATTTAAAAGAACATGAGACACATAGAGATACGACAGATGTATCATAAAAATGTATAATAATAATATATAATAATATATGATAAAAAGAATTCAAATGAAAAATGAAACTAACTCATTTCAATCCATAATAACGGAACAAAATTTTTGTATTAAAGCAAAATAAATTATTTGTATATTTTTAATTCTGTGCCCTATATTTTGCGCAATTGAAATAAACAATGGCATTGTTCATACTCAAGTGCTTTCGTTCTCATGAAAACAAATGCAATCATTTTGACAAGCTTCTCTGGCCAATCATTCCACGGTGCGTCCGTCGAACATTAGTATTTCTAAATAAGTTTAATTAGTATTTCTTATTATTAATTATATCTAATTAGTATTTCTTAATACTAATAATATCTAGTTAGTATTTTTTAATATTAATAATATATCTAATTAGTATTTCTTAATACTAATAATATCTAATTAGTATTTCTTAATACTAATCATATCTAATTAGCGTTTCTTAATACTAATAATATATAGTTAGTATTTCTTAATACCAATAATATATATTTCATATATTTCTAAATATATGTTCATGGCTTGATAATTGAAACGTGAAATTAGCTCTAATAAATACTATAACGAATGGTAAATTTAATNTAGTATTTCTTAATACTAATCATATCTAATTAGTATTTCTTAATACTAGTAATATATAATTAGTATTTCTTAATACTAATAATATATAGTTAGTATTTCTTAACCCTAGAAAGATAACCATATGACAACGTACGTAAAAGATAACCATACGCTTCAGAGGCGCATGCTTTTCTAAGGCGTGAATTTTATACTAACAATGGATATTTATTTAAGTTAATCTAGTCATTTTAAAGGTTTGGCATTATTGTAAAAATAAAATGCATTTATATTATATTTTTTTATATTTTAAGTAATTTTAAACTTAAATCACTAGACCTCTATGAAAAATTAACAAAAATCAACAGTCTTCGCAGGCGCCTCTGCGACGTAGGTTATCTTTCTCGGGTTAATACTAATAATATCTAATTAGTATTTCTTAATACTAATCATATCTAATTAGCGTTTCTTAATACTAATAATATATAGTTAGTATTTCTTAATACCAATAATATATATTTCATATATTTCTAAATATATGTTCATGGCTTGATAATTGAAACGTGAAATTAGCTCTAATAAATACTATAACGAATGGTAAATTTAATATAATATCTTATTTAATGATAATCCTGCAAAAATACGGAAACATTGAATTAATCTTGAATTAATCTATTGATAAAACGTAAGGAAAATGTCGGATTCAACAATTCATCGTTCGTGTATTACGCGTATTATAGATTCATGGACGAATTTCGCGGACGTGACAAGCGCACGTGTCCATTACGAGGAATTAATTCTGTATCTTTGCCGATTCCGGTGCTCGCCAGGTAATCCCAGTAAATAGGCGTCGGTTTAACCCTTTCCACTGTAACAACTAGTCGGACTCGTGATGAAGATTTTATACACAATCTATTAAATGCAAACATTCTTCGTCTCTTCTGAATGAAGATAAAATTTGATTGTTCTCTTATTAAAATCTAGGATCCAAAGTAAACGAAGACATACAAAGTACAAAAATGATTGAGGACAAAGAACAGCTGATCAAGGCAGCTGCAAAAGAAATCATAGTGCAAGGGGTCAATACCGTCGCGATCTGTTGCCCGACACAATCGTGCCGCGTAATTATTAACGCTCGACATTCTGGTTCGTGAATCGACGATTAAAAATTTCCCCGAGGAAATTATCGGGAAAACGGCTGCCGCCGATCACTCACCCCTTGAGGATGCTGCTCAGAAGGAAAAAGCAGATCCCGGAAGCGACGCCCGCCGCGAGTATGCTGATGCCTGGCGACGTGATCATTCTTCCGCTCACTGAACGCTTCGAGATCGATGCGTATCGATCGCGGTGCACCGTGTCACCGTGCGTTTAATTACTGCTGATGGATACGGAGGGTTCGTCCGCCTTTGCCGCCCACGAGTTCCATTTCTTTTCTCCCTCGTGTCGAAGCGTTGACGCCGTTCTTTTTTATCCTGCCGGATTAAACTCAGCGGGATTTCGTTGGAACACTACAGGAACCCGGAACGATCGACCCGACACTCGATATATTCTCGAAACACCTGTCCGGCACTGGCGAGCAGTCGATGACTGATTTCTGAGCAACGATCGACGGACGCTTTGCTTCCTTATCTGATACAGTAGATAAAGGCTCGATTGTTGATTGCGGAGGACGTTGATTCGGATCTCGCGAGATCGAGAAAGCGCATCGCGATCTTCCCGGTGTTGCTATTCTGGACTTTACTTTGCACGATTTTTATACCGCGCCCACGTTCGCTGGTTATTTCCTGTAAATTTTCCGATAAGCTGCTGCGTAAAAGCAGAGTAACTAGTTGATCTTTACTTCGAACAATGCTGTAGGGTAGATGTACCGGTTGTGGACAGTGTCTGGACAGTGTCGTTTCTGGCGATCTCTGTACTGTTGATCGTATATCTTTTTTATTTCGAGTTGGCTACAGTTCTTGGCAATCAACGGAACTCCAAACTAATAAATAAATCGTTTCTAGTGAACACGTACAATTAATGAAATATTCTTATATATTCTCTATATTCCACAAAGTATTCTTAGTAAAGAACCCGTGGAATTGCGTGTTTTTTCTTCAAATAAACACAGGAAATACGTAGAATTACGATACGTGTAAACGTAATCTCAAAAAGAAAAAGAAAGGAAACTAGTGGAAGAAGAAAATGCAATGCGAATAGAATGAATAGCAGAAAGGATAAAGCAGGAGAAAGTAGAGGAAATGAAGGAAGACAAATTAGAAGTAAAAGGAAGGGAACTGAAGGGGAAGGAAAATACGAGGAATGAAATAAACATGAAAAACATTAAAAAAACAATGCAAAAGAGGTGAAACTATTTTTACATCATTATACATATATCATCGTACGTCGTAACACCAAGATTTTCAAATACCACAAAGTAGAATATAGGAAAGAGGAATTTTGGAAAAATTATGCTGCATTTTGATCACTTGCATCGTTCTTTATCAGAAAACTATGATACGTGTAATATTAAATGTTTGAGGTAGCCAGAAATGGTACTAAACATAGCCGAAGTGCTGTACAAGCGACCACAAACGGTGAAAGATGCGCATTTTACTACGTTTGAACTGTAACAATTCTTAAATCGTTTCGTTGGCTTATTGAAATTTAGGACTTCAAAACTAAAGGTCTATCTATTAAAACTTGCACATTTCTGACATTCTTACTTTGAGACTATTTGCGTTAACATTCATATAAATCCTTACTGTGGCCAGAACCCTTAATGTGGTACATCTGCCCTACCGTATTCTCTCCATTCCGTTGAAACGAACCGAAAAAGAAATGTATACGGACGAGTAACTTTGACTCTTCTGGCAGTAAAATGATTTATTTCCGTTCCTGTCGCTTCTCTCCCAACAATTGTACAGAGAATTATCAACCGTCCTGTCTATCGAAAAAGGAAACTTTTCAGCCTTCGATTCTTACAGTCCGCCTGTCATGTTCCACAAATCAGACGCAGAAACCAATCACTGAGAAAGCATCACAAGCTACTAAAGAAACGACACCGACTGATCATTCAGCCTGTCCGTAGCCCCCGATCCACTCGATTTCCACTGCCGCTCGGTGTTTAATTAATGAGGTTTAAAGACCGAAGTCCGTTTCTCCATCTCGTCAGCTCAGGTCTCAGCCTGTGCAGTTCCAATCGGCCGTTCTATCGGATGCAGATTAAATCATTCTCGCGTCTTCGTGGCATCGACGACACCGATCAGTCGACGGCGTCTCTGTGTCTGGAAGATTTCGAGGTGACAAAACAAAACACGGGATCGAGGCGTCGGTCGTGGATAAGTCCTTCGACGGGAAACAACAAGGATGTCAGTAGCACAGAGTCTCTCGTGTCTGTAAGGACCGTTCGTTCGTTCGTTCGTTCGGTTGCGTCGTCGCACTTTCACGCACTTTTCCCCAAGGAAATTTCGAAAGGTCCGAGTCACGAAGCCGCCGCACCGCTTCCGACGTGATTAAAATGGTAACTAGGCTATCCAGGAGATGTGAACGGACCGCACGATAAGATTGAACTGACGCAAAACCATGGTACCCGCGTGTAGACACGCGTGCACATTCACGAGATCGTCGCGCACCGCCTGATTGCGCCGTGACGCGCGGCTCGCTTTGACTAGGATTCGTTTCGACGGGACGTCACGGTTTGGATGATTCGCGAAAGCACAATGATTACCGGCTCTTTCTCTCGGCCCGAGGCCCGTGGACCGTCGTTCCGCCGTAATGGGACGCGATGAAGTCTGAATCGAAGTGTCCGACCGACCCGCGGAATTAATTCGGGGAGAAAACGCGGCGGAGTTTGATTTTTGTTTGCCGATCGAAGTGCACGATTTATCACGAATCACTGCCGATAATGCTGGTTTCGCTTCGTTTTAGAAGAACAGCCGCGAGGTCCCTGAATGCCGTGAACTTTTATGGTTCCGCTGTTCGCGAAGATTGAACAGCATTTTTATGCTCGTTTTATGAACCAATTTTCGAAACCAGTGGTCGCCGGGAATTAGTATTTTTTTAGTGGGACATGGTTCGTTTCCTCTGACAAGTTTTACACGTATAGTACAAGTGTACGAAGGTTGCAGTTTCAAGGAGTATTTATTTAGAAATTGAAGAAAGCATAAAATTGTAAGAAAATTTCACAATAGAGAGCGGAACCTTGGTTTATATATCCGGATTGAGCTGAGTGACGTGAACGTTCGGATAATAGAATAGTTACTTAATTACAGTGCCAAGTTTCATTTTTATCGATTTCTATAATCAGTCGCTGTGCATACAGGTTGCCTTAGAGTGAGCTAATACTTTTTTTGAATAAATATTACAAATGTCGAGTATTTAACGATAATTAAGAAGCATTTTGCCATGTGGCTAACTCCTAAAAGAACACCAAATGAAACGGATAACATACCTGATTTAAGTATAAACTTCACATATGNTTAATAATCCTGTTACTTATTATAATATATACTATATATTACTATATTACTATATATTACTATATATTACTATATACAATAATATATTACTATATATTACTATATATTACTATATACTATAATATATTACTATAATATACTTACTATACTTATTAATAATCCTGTTACTTATTATAATATATACTATATATTACTATATTACTATATATTACTATATATTACTATATACAATAATATATTACTATATATTACTATATATTACTATATACTATAATATATTACTATAATATACTTACTATACTTATTAATAATCCTGTTACTTATTATAATATATACTATATATTACTATATTACTATATATTACTATATATTACTATATACAATAATATATTACTATATATTACTATATATTACTATATACTATAATATATTACTATAATATACTTACTATACTTATTAATAATCCTGTTACTTATTATAATATATACTATATATTACTATATTACTATATATTACTATATATTACTATATACAATAATATATTACTATATATTACTATATATTACTATATACTATAATATATTACTATAATATACTTACTATACTTATTAATAATCCTGTTACTTATTATAATATATACTATATATTACTATATTACTATATATTACTATATATTACTATATACAATAATATATTACTATATATTACTATATATTACTATATACTATAATATATTACTATAATATACTTACTATACTTATTAATAATCCTGTTACTTACTATAATATATACTATATATTACTATATTATTATATATTAATATATTACTATATACTATAATATATTACTATATACTATAATATATTACTATATATTACTATAATATATTTACTATACATGTTAATAATCCTGTACTTAATACACTAAAAGGGTTTCTACTCTATTTTATAAAACGTTATTATTACTATTATTATTAGTATAATGAAAATAGTAAATGAAACAAGTGTGTTCATATGACGTACATCTGTGTGCACATGATTTGTACATCTCTTTGCAGGAAACACGAATGTGCCAAGCACCAAGCAACATCAAAAATAAAAAAGATGCAGCGCACGTATCTCGACTTTCCCCCGCTCGAGTTCCTTTATTTGCACAATATATAATTTATTTATTTAGAAAATCTTGCAACGAATGGAGAGCATACGTCGGCCGCAAGGAGGACACGAGCCGTGTAAATTACATAAAATATAAGAAACATGCAATCCGTGAAACCCATGAAGCGTGCGAAACGGATGACGGCAGATGATCCACTTGTTACGCGTCAAATGTGTGAAATGTATTTCATAACTCTTTTTGTTCCACTCCGCTAATTATACTTGACGTCGGCTCCGGTGACAAGTGTAGTCATCTCTGCAGCACCTGTTATTATAACTTTAAACACTTCACTTTCTTTGAGTTCTTTTTCCGTATCCAGTCCCCCAATCGGATATCACTTACAGCTCTGCGAAACGATCTGTAATTACTAGACTGTAGAGCTGTGGGTGCATTTACATTTTGATGGCCAGCAATCGCAAGCCTGGACATAAATCAGAATATTATCTCCTGTAAAAAATAGTTTCACCGGTTTCAAAGTGACATTAGCATGCGATTGTACAAATTTTTATATTCTCCACCTTGAAAGTTCAAAACCCGGAAGGAGATTTTCATTTTCATTGAATTAATTTTTATCAATCCCTGCAGCTGTACATATAATTATACAGAATTAGAGTTACGGACCTTTATATAAATATTCATGCCCGACTTCGTGCAAACTCGGGAAATTAATTTATCATAACTAATTCGTTAATCATTCGTCGCAATACTTTTCGCTGAATTATTACGAATTAGTTAGAATAACGAACGAGTTGTAGTCGTTAATTATTAATCACGTTACTTTTCGCCCAACTCCGATGCAAAACGAAAAATTGCTTCGGTTCGATAAATAATTCGTCATGGTAAAAGTGAATAAAAATAAATAAATGTTTATATATGAATATATAACACGAATAAGTTGTATATTTATATGTGAAATTCTAACAATGTCAATAATTTTATTTTTTGGTTCTCTCATTTTAATAATTTTCAAGATTAGTCTCTTCCTATTTGGGAAATGGCATAAGTGCACGATGATCCGCAGTCTCCTCGCAATATTTATTCCGATCTCACGGAGCCATCCTGAAGCTGGAAAGAAAAGCGAATTTTCGACCAACCCGGTGGCAATTGCGTAGCGTTTCACTTAATAAATCAAACAGAAGATTACAAAGGAGCGTAGATAGACTTGACTGGCATCTTCGGATTCCTTTGTTCCCGTTGAAAGTCAAAGATGGAACAAATCGGCCGGAAGAAGTCCATACTTTGCCCAATGTGAGAATGAGAGAGAGAGAGAGAGAGAGAGAGAGAGAGAGAGAGAGGCAAGTCTGGAAGAAAAGATTTTCACAGGCAGAGATGCATTATCATTATCACGAACGGTGAGGGCTTCCACTAAATTCTTTTGAATAAAAATCGCGCGATCAATTTAGCGTGCTCTCGAGGGTAGAAGGAGGAGAAAAGAGCTCGAGAGAAGCGTGGCGTGAAAGAGCGGGAGGAAAAGCGGCGGAAGAAACGAAGCACCTCCTTTTTTCCGCGCAGAAGTGCGTCAATTAAAGTGGGAATCACGGAGATGCTTATACACAGAGACGGGAAACGCTCCTCGGAGCTGGGAGCTGAAGCGGAGAGGAAAAACCGAGCGAACCTTATGTAACTTTCATCCGAGGTCGTTGCGTCACCGTTACCTCGGCCAGCGCCGTTCGCGAAACCAGCGAAACGATTCATAGAATGCCGCTGATAAGGAACGGGATTGTTCCGATTCCCATTCTACGAGCTGCCTTTATCGACCGATTGTGGAAAATCTGTGGAAAGTGCAACTGAAGTAACATTCGAAAAGTTGTATGACTTTGCATACAAATTTAATACAGCTTAACGCTTCGACTGCTACGTCACAACCTCGAAAATGTTCTAAAATTAAAATTCTTTATTTAAAATTTTATGTATATTTATATTTATATAAATAATTTATATAAATTTTCGAGAGGTTATATATATACAATATATTATATTATATTATATTATATATTATATTATATATTATATATAA